TTGAAGTACAATATTTTTCCTACGACCACAAAATTTATCAAAAAATGTAAAACTAGGAAATCTGGCTGTAAAGATTCCATTCAAGATGTGGATGGTTTTAGATTTGTTTTTTATAAGCCTTATTGAATTATTTTTAAAGCGTTTTAAGGGTAGTGTTTGGTCAAAATTAAAAATATTGCGATTCCATTTACAAACAATTTCATAGGATAAAGATAAAATAACATTAGGTACAAAAAATATTAGAATACATGTTTTAGTGTTATTTTTAACAAATAAGTTGAACAACCGTGAACAATAAAATCTGTTTTATTATTGATGATGACCCACTTCTCTACTAACAATTTTTTTCTAAACAGTAATTAAAATAGTACAAAATAAACAGCGAATAGAATATTGTGGGGGTTATATTATGATAAATAACATGTATTTTAAATAAATAAACCTAACTGAATGTGTAGCACTCCAGAATCCAAGGGCACTATATCTAGGAGGATATCAAATAGAAGAGGGAGATTTACCTAACTTGAAGCCACTTCAAATCCTACACTTCCTTGAGAAAATAGGATTGTAAGGGTCGCTATTCGCTCCGTGCGCGACAGCAGCGCCAATTCGTTTTGGTACTAATGGACTATTTCTGCGTATACTGACAAATGCAATTTTTATTAGAATTCGTAATTAAGAAGTATATATGTTAGTTTTAATAAAAGTATATGGATTTTAAAACAAGTAAAACAATAATTTATTATTATTATATATTTTTATCGCTTAAATTAAAGAAAATTATGTATAATCAATAAAAATCAATAATAAAATATAGGCAGGCAACAGTATTTACTGGAAAATGTATGAGAAGTTGCCTAAGTTTAATAAGTTGTCATTAAAGAGTTAGACTATTCGGTCAAAATCTCAGAGGTCAAAATTAAAAAAAAAAAAAACATTTAATACTATTAGCGTGAAGTTAAAATGTATAAAAAAAGATCGTTATTTATATTTTCATTTTTGTTCGAACGAAAACATAGAATGAATGATTAAAACTAGTCCTTGCTGAATTAACATTTTTAGAATAAAGGGATATTAAAAAACATCGTAAAATGATAATTTATTGTTTATTTAAAACCTTTTAAGTTTCTGATGTCTACTATTTCCAACATTACTGTTATTATTACAAAAATAAAGGTAATTTTTCTTCTTATTGTACACCTATCCATTTATTTCTTTGATTTAATTTCTACTTTGCTACTGAAATTTTTTGTATAAGTTTCACTGTTTTTTTTTCTAGTATTTGTACAATTTTCAATACAACACAGCAACTCCGGTTGCTTATTGTATTGTTTTTACTTAGTTTTTTGAAAAAAAGTAAAATGTATACCTGTATTTGATATGCCAAAATTACAAAATATCGCTCTAAAATGCACGAATTGCAGTGGCGACAGAAGGGGGCACAATAGATCTTTTAGGTTGCAGTGTATTAACACCCCATTCTCAACATAACATAAATAAATAAACAAGAAGTCTTATTTTTCCAATTTTCATATTTAAAAAAAATTAAAAAAGATAATTGAACCAGCGTCACGAAATGGTTGGGAAATGCCAAGGTAAAAAGTTAGATACTGTATGATCTGCGCTACCACGGCTTTGTTATTTGATTTATCTTATTAATAATGTATATGAACCAGAAAAAGCAAACATAATGTGGGTAGTTACGTTAAATTTTTTTTAATAATTTGTTAAAAAGAAATATCTAAGATCTATATTTAAAAAGTAATGTGAACAATTTATTCATCAAATCAATTTTGCTTTTAAAATAGAAATTAGACGTCGTGACATATTTGACAGCTTATGCGGAAAGTAGATTCATATTCACACACGAGTGGAAAGTAGATTCTTATCCACACGCGTATAATATAGGACACTTACCATAAGACTAAATAGTGCGATTGGTGTCACTTTCCTAAATGGTCGTAGGAATTTTTTTTTAAATTGCTGTTGAAAATAAAAATTCTGAAACTAAGATAGTTCACTCGCGAAGTCGTACATAAAAATATCGCATAATGGTGAATACCAAAAGTTCGAGATTCTCAGTGCTAAAATTTTTTATTTTTGTAAGAGACTGTACACAAACATGTAACCGTATATATACGGATACTTATAATTTCAAATAAAATCCATCCGGCAACGTCGTAAATATATGAATGATGGGCTATAGGAATTTGTGACTTCCTCATACTAATTTTAAGGGTTTGTTTTGGTTGAAACAGAACCGCTGATTCCAGTTCTCAAATACAGTGGACGAATTAATTTTACAAGAACACGTCGCGAGATTATAACAACATCTTAGCTGATCGAGTGTTATTGTGTTACCGCCCGTTATGTGTAGCGATTACAATAATGTCAAGTTGTAATAATTTTACGGAACAACGCGTCGACAGCTTTAAAAATATTTTTATTTTAAAAATCTATATATTTTTACCAAGTAGGTCAAAAAATTCAGCGTTTTTTAGAAAATTTTATAACTTCTTGATTTACATTACATTAGTTTTTAAAAAATATAGTAAGAACCGTTTTCGAGATATCTTGAAATAAATGCATTACTTGTGTACATGACAGGCTTCAAGAGTGTTTATTATGCACATTTTGATTGTTAATATCTCGTTTCACAGACGGTCAAAAAATTAAATTTTTTTTACTTACGTAAAAGACACTTTCAATAACCTTATTTTTTAATTTTATTGATTTCTTAAGAAAAGTCATTTTACGTTGAACTACCTTAATAAACATAAAAATAAAATTAGGAGAGGGACAATTATTTATAGCGATCGATGGCGAGCCTACGAGGCATTGAAAAAAGAAAATTATGAACATTTAACGGTAAATCATTCGGTTTATTTTGTTGATCCTGATACTGGAACGCATACGCAAAATATTGAGAGAACTTGGGTGGAAAATTAGTACCGCGATTTGGGAGAAAAATGGACATTACGGGGCATAGCTTACGGAATGTGTTTTTATGCTGAAGTTCAGAGACCAACGCGAACGTTACACGAATATTGGACTGTGGCAGTGGAACTTTATCCACCACTGAAGATTATTTGAAGATACGATTTAAATTTATTATTATTGGCTATCGAAATCGTTTAAAGTGACAACGGGCGTCCTACAGGGAGAACCTTATTATTTGCACTGTATAGCTGACTTAGATACCTTTTTTTATGAGAACGGTGCTCAAGGTATAAATATTGATGACAAAAATGATGGTTTGTCGCTAATATATGCTGACGACCTTGTCATTTTAGCACACTCTGAGATTGATGTTGTTAAAAAGTTAAAAGTTAAAATTTTAGAAAAATATACTGTTGCTAATAAATTAACTGTTAATTTACAGAAAACAAAAATAATGCAATTTTCTAAGGGAGGTTTCAGGACGCCTAACTTTAATTTTTACTTTAACAATCAACTTATTTCTATAACTAATAAATATACATATCTAGGAGTGGTATTTACTTCATCAGGTCTCTTTAATGAAATGGCTCATTTTACTGCCAACAAAGGTAAACAGGCTATAGGTTCTCTCCTTCAGATAATGTCGAAAGCTAAAATTAATACTTGGCACCCTAGAATAAAATTATTTGAGTCACTTGCCCTTAGTGTTATGTTTAATTGTATTTCTGTTTGGGGCCTAAGTTACTTAGATGTATTGGAAAGAGTCCAGTTATATTTCCTTAAAAGAGTTCTTTTAGTTCCCATCACTACTCCTGATGCTATAATCCGTTTAGAGACTGGAAGAGTAAAGTTTGCATTTAATATTTTTAAAATGTTCCTTAATTGGATACAAAAAATAATGACAATGGATAATTATCGATATCCAAAGCTTTGTTTTAAACAACAATTGCGTTTGATCAACTCTATAGATATAAAGTATAACTGGATAGTACAGTTGAAAAAGTTCTTTGTTAATATTGATTGTGTTCATATATGGAACAATTTAAACCATCCTTCTTTTAGTTCATATGGAAAAGAATTGTTTTCCAAATATTTTACACATTTACATGATTCAGATGTTAGTATAGCGTCTCGCTATCCTTTTATGTATTTATATAATTATGTTCCTACCTCTTGTGAACCAAGTACATACTTACTCTTTAAATTACCAATCCAGGTTACCCGTACTCTTGCTCAATTGCGTATGTCCAACCGTTTTAGGATTAAATTTACATTAAATGGTATTAGTTATGTTATTGATCCCGAACTAGATTGTACTGTGTGTAATACACATGAAAAAGAAACTATTTTTCACATACTTTTTGATTGCCCTATTTACTCAAAATGAAGCAAAATATCGCTTGCCTTGAAAATGTAAACTCATTGCTGCATACTTTACAAAATATAACAATTTTTGAAGCTAGGAAAATTGCTGAATATATTAAAATTGCGCTCTTTTGTACTGAATGAATAATGTTGTTTTTATGATTTAAGATCTAATTTTTTATATCTGTACTCATTGCTGTAACTCAGGTTTAGAAGCAATAAATATTATTATTATTATTATTGGATATTTTCATTTGAAAATATTGAAGTTGTAAAAAAAAGAAAAGAGATTAAAAATAAACATGAATTAAAAAAATAAAAAATAAAAAAGAAATTGGAAAAAAATAAAAAAAAAAATTTTAAATAAAAAAAATTAAAGAAAGAAAAATAAAAAAATGAAAATGAAATAAAAAAAAATAAAAAAACTGAATTAAAAAAAAAACAATATTTTTCCTTGTCCTGACAAATATAAAAAAGGTCAATATTGACGTTGTTTTACCCATCCAGCACTCCTGTTCACTCCATTTCCCGTAAATTTGTTAATATTCATTTGCACAAAGTTTGAATAGCAAAAGTTGTTTAGGATGATGATTTACATGTTTTACAAAAAAAAAAAAAAAAAAAAAAAAAAATGTATATATAAAACTCGAAAAGACCTCAAACTAGACAATTGCCAAATAAACTTATAATTTTAGCACAGAATATATTGTTGGTAATTCTGAAAACCTTCCAACTCAAAGCATTAAACAGAACACACTAGTAAATAGTAATTTGGAAACTAATGAACATATTACTGATGTAGAAAAAAAGAATCCTGGACGTAAAAATAACAGAGTTTTGATCAAGTAAGTTGACTTTTGTTATATTGAGATATGTATGTATTAGTTAATAATAATTTCTTTTAGAACTTTAATTCAAAAACTAAATGTATTTGCACAAATCAGAAGTCCTCTATCAATGTACAGAGAGCCTGAAATATACAAGCTTTATTTTGACTTACTTCAACATAGGGATTCCAATGTACAAAAATATGCACTGGACTGCATTTTTACTTACAAACACAAATTTTTATCACCGTATAAAGAAAATCTTTATAATTTAATTGATGACAAAAATTTCAAACATGAAGTTCGCACTTTCAAAATAGATAAAGATAGCAATATTATTCTTCCTGATCATAGGGATGGTTTAATACCGATCCTAATGCAAATTGTGTTTGGTAAAATGCTTGTTAAAACTGGTTTAAGAACTGGAGGAAAATCATCTGGACAAATGAGAAGAAGTATCGTATTTAGATTTTTGGCAGATTGTCAAGAGAAAGAATTGCTGAGCTTTTTACAAAAGTTGCTTAGGCCATATAACAATTTTCTCCAAGAAGATCCTACTGACATTGTAAATACAGTTTACAAGAACTGCAGTTTAGAAACATTTTTGCCACTAAAAAAGTTGCTCAGCACTTTAAATTTATTTGCAGTTATTCATGAACAATGTGGTGGCTTAATGGGCAATGAAATTCTTGCCTACTTGCTGAAAATCCTATTTGTAATTGGTATGTACGTTTTATACAATAACATCTCTCTTCAAAAAGCATTTTTAAATTACCTTTGATAGAAACATTAAAGAAATCGATAGAAAAACATGTGAAGAGTGTCAGTTGACCAAGACTAAAACAAATAATATGTGAAACATTGTCCAATAGTGATTATTAAAAATTTACTCCTAATGTAACTTACATTTACATTAAAAGATCTTTGAGAATTAGGCATTATGACTATGGTTGCCAGACGCTCCACTTTAGCCACGATTACCACGCCTTTCCACTTGCTGCCACGTGTCACACCAAAGTACCCGATTTTTAAATTCAAACTTATAAAATACAATTTTTCATTTACCTGCACAGATTTTAAGAAATACCTTCTTTCAAATGATGGTGATAGTTTGTTGCTAAAAATAAAACAATCTGAGGAGTATTAATAAAAGTATAGTATGTAAGTTTTTATTTTGTTTCGAGAATTTATTTTGATTTTTCTTTTCATTTCATTTTATTGTAATTTGTTGACTTATTTCATTTGTCTAAATTTGTAATAATTTATGTTTGTGAGAGTTTATCTCTATATAAAAAGGTTTTTTTATTAGTCCCAACTAAAAAAATCATCGCCACGCTTTTCCTTCTCGCAAATCTGGCAACCCTAAGCATGACGTGTTTCTTGCCTAAAATGTTATCTCAATTTGACCTCACAAATACATTGGACATTCATTATAATGTTTCAATTTTTAAGGTTTTACATGCGGATAAATTTAAAGATGCTTTGCGAATTAAGCTATAAGTAAATTTAGTGTTACAGGCTTCTAAAAATACCGTAAAGGTGAATGATTTACCCCTATTTTTAATTCACTATACTACGTTATTAATTATAGATGGAAAAATTTTAGGGATGTTTAACAGAATTGCCATGTATTGAAAGAAAAATTTATTTCTTTATAAAAATTATGCAAATAATGTATTTAACATACATATTTTTTGCCTAATCTAGGGGGGTAAATTTGTAGATGCATTTTATATTGTTATAAAGTTGTATTTTCCATAGTTTTGCATAGAAATAATATAGAAGACAAATATAAATGATACATTTAATGAGAAATAGAAACCTACTGTGCACAAAAACGCGTCTCTGCACATGCCAACGCAGAATAGTGTATTTTAAGCATGCGCAGTATGCATGGCTTGTCCCTGTAGCGTTGTCAGGTATATTAATCAAATCTGCCATAAAATAATTTCAAATTAATTTATTTTTACAGTTTAGATCTATGAAATATCGCAACAAAATAACTTATAAACATTTAAATGGGTCCTATGATTGAACGTTTACGTTATTCGTAACGTACATGTTAAACCGAATTTTAAAAGTAACGAGGCAAGTTCGTATGGTGGAAACCTGTTAAATTAGAACATAACAGGCGTAAAATAACAGTAATGTGTTGGAAAAAGTTTTCCATCGTACGAACTTGCCTTGTTACTGTTAAAACTCGGCCTAACATGTACGTTACGGATAACGTATACGTTCAATCATACGACCCAATATTTATGTGTAATTACATGTACACAAATATTTTAAAGACTGCGATCACCTATATTTAGTGTTTACTTGGCTATACCGCTCAAATCGGAACTTTCAAGGCTGTATTATGATGCTTACCTTTACAGGACCGTTTCCTTATTTACAATTTTTCAGTTTGTAAAACACGTCTATTTGTGATATTTTGGTTGGATTTTGGGTTTTATTATTTAATTACACGGTGTTAGTAGCATTTTTGAATATTTTTTATTAGTTTTTTGTTGCGTTAAATTAAATATTAGGTACAATAAAAGACAGTAATATTGTCTGATGAAAATGTACTTAATGTATTAATCAGCTGTATTATTGATTAAAAGATTTATCTGAAGAAGGGTACCTAGATAATATTTATGTCTAGAAATGTATACCTACCTATGATTATGAAAATAAAGACCTGCTTATTTATATACAGGCTGTCCAGCAACGGGAACACTATCGGCATCTGAATCTGACTACTAATGAATGAATTTTGTTAAAAATTGCTAAAAATAATGTATGATATACTGCAAAGTTATACCGTGGTAACCAACCTCTGTTTAGGGTTGTTAAAGGAGTCATAATGGGCTAGCCCGGTAAAAATTTTAACATCAGTTATGACTTAACTGTCAGTTGTAACTGAACTGTCATTATTTTTAGTCACAATGCCTTAGCAACTCCATAGAAGGGTTCGGGGCCTATTATGGCCTTACCTGGGCCTTCTCGGGCTAATTCGTCGGCCTTTTCGATGCCCTAATATCCCTCATGGCCTGGCACCCAGGCTACGGTCACCTTCTTTTAACTACTTAGCTCTGCCAGGTCTTCTAGACAGTCTTTCACCAGTCGTGATTCGATTTCTGGTGAGAGAATTACCTTTTGAGCTACTTGACTATCAGAGTATATGGCAATAGTTTTGCCTGATACTTGCTGATTTAATATTTCGCTTGCATAGTGTTGTATGGAACACTGTTGCATATTCTCCTAGACAGTGAAATCGTTGATTTCGATTTTGGTCCACTGATTTCAGCGCCGACTCCTTCCTTGGTTTTTGTACTGTCTGTGTACCAGACGAGTTCAGCCTGTACGGGAACTCTCTGTTTCCAGGATTCTCGGGCTGGTATTTTCACCCTGGTGTATAACATGCCAATATGGTAATTTTCCGCTTAGACCCCAGTTTTCCCACATATTCTTCTACAGCTTACGAGAGCCATTATAGCTTTGTATGTGAGTTTTTTGAGATGTTGATTCCACTTCAGCCTTTCTAATGATGGTGTCAATTAATATTTTTTTTATTTTAGGTTGTAAAATGTAGTAAATTGCAGTATATCATAAAACGTTGTACGATACACTTGATCTCTACGTGCTCGCACGGTCTTATAAAGTAAACTACTAAAACAGGTGTTTAATCTAAAATATTTTGACAGTCCTCATTTCGGCTTATAACCGAAGTATAAGTAAAATTTAATATTTTAAATGAGATGCCATTTCTTTTATTCCAGATACCGATAGAACATGACATTTTAGGGTCGTTTTGTATGATAAAGTGTTATAGCTAAAATTGGTAAAATATAAAACAAGAATTATTAAAAAAAAAAAAAAAACGGGTATTAAAATAATATTTTTTATTTGTGCTTAAATTTAAAATTTTTTTAATTAAATAATGATGAAGATAGTAGTAATTAACAATTATATGACACTAAATTATCCTTTATTGTACAGGGTGAGACAAAAAAACATCAATATCTTCAATTTTTTAAATGGCACATTTTTTATTATTTTATTATATTCTCCAACATTTATTTTCCTATACGGAACTATATCTACTTCCATTACTGTCAAAATATCGACTGATAACTTTAATTATTTGTATTAAATGGACTGAAAGCCATCTTTAGTGGGGTTTGTACCAAAAATGATATTTTATTTAACAGATGAATTAAATAAATTACATGTCACTATATTTTATTAACAATTCTCCTTTTTTTATATCTAACTTAATTCATTACAAACAAATAACATGTATAAAAGGGTGATACTCCACAGATCCATAAATCGATTTGGCCATACAGGCCAGGTTTCTGGTATTCAGTTTCGAACTTTTATATGGACCCGAAAGACCTTGTTAAGCGGGCTCAAAACTTACAAAATATGTACTATGTAAAAGGGAAATAATGAAATGCATCACACTTCAAAATATTGTTTTTTTCATGAAATCAATTATATTTTGTATGTGATAAATTCACGTGACAGCGGAACTTTACAAAGTTAAAAACATTTTTAGGTATTTTTCTTTAACGATTTTGTAAAAAAAATGTGAAATTGTCCAGATAAACAGTTTTCGATATATTTCTTAACAAGGACTTTCAGTACCATGTTTACTCGAACTCTTTTTATATACAAATACCTCTAAAAATGTATGACTGATAACCTGAAACATCGTGTATGTGATCGATATAAAACTTGAGCCGGTCCTGTCCAAGCCGACACCGTTATGCGCATGCGCTCCGACACACTATTTACTTTTGATTGGCTTTCTATAAAATTTCTATGTGGTTTTGAGATTGAAAGTCGATAAGTTTTAAAAAACAGGAAAAAGACAGATCCACATTTACATATATGGTCTCTATTTAGAAATATAACGGACTAAAATGACTAGCAGTGCCGACTAGTGACCAAAATATTGGGGGTTCACAATGAGATAATATAGATCTCACCATAGATTTATGTAAAAAAATTTCTGTGTTTTGGAAAGGTATATTATAAACACTGAAAGTTTTTTACCTAAATCTGTACTGAGATCTATATTCTGTATTGTGAACCCCCCATATTTTGATTACGAGCTGCCACTGATGACTAGATCGTTTATTGGTTGATTAGAGCATTTTAAACGAATTTAAAGGGATCTATGACAATAGCAAATGCTTAAGATTTCTTTGTTTCAGGTTCTCTATTAAAATTCGCTTTTGATAACATATCAGAAGTCCACTCAGGTTACTTATCAATATTACGAAACCTAAGAGTAACGTGCATAAAGTTAATAGAAAAATTCTTTGATCATTTTGATAGATATCCATGGACGAAACAAGAAATTAATGCTGTGTTTTCAGTATTTGTTTGGCCTTATATACAAAAACTAAATATAGAAGGTATTCATAGTCCTACAAGTTTATTGAAATTGATTGTACAGTGGGGATCTAATCCTAAATATTTTCCTCTATTAAATAAACACAAAGAAGGCGAAAAAAATATGTATATCCTACCACATGTCTTAAATTTATTGATAAACGATAAATGCCATATTTCTGTAATTAATGTTATTGAAGAAATGTTAGAGAAATTATTGAGTCTCCAGTCTGATGAAGAAGATTTAAAAAATCCAATTCCCATAGATAACTTATTAGAAATTGATAAGGAAATTTTGGATAAAGTTGATTTTGTTAATAATTTAAATTATGGTAGCATGATTTTACTGCCACATGTTCCTGTAATCCTGACCAAAATAGAAAAAAAACTTTTATCCAAATTTAAAAATTTAAATCAAAAAGAATTATTTATTTTATCAAGAATTTCTGAATTAGTATGGGATCCTATTCTCAGTGATAAAATACTAGACCTGCTATTACCAGTGGTTATAAAAAAATGTAAAGGATCTATATCTGAAGAAGTAATTTTAAGATACATCACTACTATTTTTAATTTAATTAAAAACGTAGACAGGCCTCATGTGCATTTAAAACAGTTGTCGCCATTATTTGCTGAAGTATCTTATCCATCCAGTAGAAAAATACTATGCCAGATTCTCGATGTAATTTCAAATAAGTCAGTCGATGAAGAATTCAAAACAAATGCTACACTTATTGGGGAATTAAATGCATTTGATAAAAAATGGATTGATCAGCCAGATTTTGAACGGCGCCACGACGCTTTTAAAACAATTCAAGAGTATGTGCAGAATGACAAAATATCTATTTCATTAGGAGTGCTTGTCATTTATAATTGTAGTTTCTTTATTAGTTACGAAAATGATTTATCTGCAAGGGAAAATAGTTCCCATACTTTGAAAAAGGTCTCATCTTATTTAACTCAAAAGTATGTCAAACAAAATGACCTTATTTTAAATGAAACCTTATTTAACTTAATTCGTAATGGGTTGAAGAACGTGAAAGATAATATTAGAAATGAATATATTTCTCTGTTAGGTCATCTGGCCAGAGAATGTTCTCAAGCCCATTTTATACTAAGAGATTTAAGTAAATATACTAGTAAAATTGACCCCGAAGTTGATTTCTTTGAAAATTTAATCCATCTGCAGTTACACAGACATGCTAGAGCTCTTTTGAAGTTTTGCCAAATTACTAAAGAGCAAATTGAATCTCCGAACCCAAGAACTCTTACTCAATTTATTTTACCATTGGTTACCCACTATCTTTGCAAAGAGAAGTTTTCCAATAAAAACAGCGTCATCGATGCTGCGGTTGAAAGTGTTGGTGTGGTATGTAGGATTTTGCCCTGGCATCAATATGAAGGGATATTAAAATATTATTTAATGAAATTGGGAAGCAAACTGGAATACCAGAAACAATTAGTTAAGGTGATTGTGATAATTTTGGATGCGTTCCATTTTGATTTGAAAAATGCACATTTGGAAAACGACAATAACCAACAAAAGAAAGTGTTAGCAAAAAGTACCCAAATAGAAGGAACACAAAATAATATTGTTATTGAACAAGAAAAATATAATAGTTTAAAAAGTAAACCGATGAACGATACCGAAGAACAAGAGTCACAAGAAGATGAGGTCGAAGAAGAGTCTGAAATAGATGATTTTGTAAATGGAGATAATGAAATTGACGAGGAAGAAGTCATGCCTACAGAGGAGAAAATAAAAATAATTGAAAAAATATCTATTTTATGCAAATCTACGGCTACAAGGGTAGTTAAAACATTGCAGGTAAGGTTTACTAAGAAATACTATTTTTCAAATTATTTTGTTAAAACACCTTAAACCTCTTCTTTGCCAAGAAATTGCTAGTAAATTTAATGTTTTTGATTACAGTCAGTTCTGATTCCAAAATTACACAAATCTTTAGCTGAGATGACCGAACATGAAAATTCACACAAAGTAAATAGGAAAAAGTTAGCTCATGAAAAAGAGGACGAGGATTTACTCAGAATACCTATTTCATTGGCAGTGATTAAACTTTTACAAAAATTGCCAGAAAATATTTTAGAAAGTAACCTTCCTGGGTAAGTTGTTTATAGTGGAGCGAAAAAGTCAAAGTACGAATTTTTTAATTTAATACTGAGGAAAAGTTGCCTATGTTGTTCATTAGTATTTTCATATTTTTATTTTTTCTTTGGGAACATTTTCTGCCTCCCCAATGGTCTTCATTTTTTAAAAAAGTCTGAAATTTAATAACTATATATTATACATTTTTTTCATGACCAAAAGTTACAGTAAAATTTATTAAATTGTAATCTAAAAACAACGAGATTTTACGAGAAAGCAAAAAAACAAGATGACGATGACGAATGAAGAATAGAGAAGCACAGGCTGGCGTACAGTACAGGTGTAATAGGTATATGCTAGAGGAGCGATGAACGACCACTAGAATTTAATCGGTCTACAGTTAGTCGTACTGTGACTGTGGTCAGTCGTCGTTGACGGATTGATGGATTAGCTCTTTTGCATATCCATCGGGATTTTAATTTTGACGTCGAAAAAATTATGCTAATGCACCAAAGAAAATGTGATTTTACGATTAAGTAATCGCCTGCCACAGCGTCGTTATATTTACCGAAAAAAACATATATTTAACATGTTTAAAATGTTAATATAGGTCATCACAAATTCATATTTACGTAAACAAATGACCCCTGTCAGTCTGTTCGTACTGCACACGTGTTATTCTTTCACTTGTTTTGACTTGTCTGCGACAGCCTGCTACCTTTTTGCATATCGCGTTAATGTTTCAGTTTCAGTCTACGCTACTTATTAATACCGTCTAGTACGTCTATTAATTTTGTATTGCTTTCACGTATGTAGTTTTCTTTATATTCGTTAGTTAAGGGCAATACTAGAAAAAGTAAATACCATGTCATTACCAGGAGCTCTATTTTTGAATGTCTTTCTAAATGCGCACGCGACATTGATGATGAATTCGACATTTGTTGTTAGACATAAAGTCGAATGGTATTCAACCAGTCGACATTGACATTGTAATGTCGCTATCGAGATAGAATGAAGTAGAGACCACATAAACACTATTTTGCGATATAACAGATTGACGCACTTAGCGCTGCCAAGATAGACGGCAAAATGTAATCAAAATGGCGACTTAGAGTCGTATTTTTATTTATTTGAAGTCAATAATTTTATATTTGAAGATTGACGGATTGAAAATGGTTTTATATCATTTAAATAAAACTATTTAAAAAAATGGCATTTATTCTCACCAAAACTGACTCGAAATTGACACATGACGTAAAAGTGTAAGGCAAAGGTGTGGGCACTTTTAGTATCGTCATATTCTGTCCCAATGGAATGTCGCATAACTTTTTAAAGATTATGTTATGTATGTTGCGAGTGTTGCGACAGTGACAATTTATTTTTATTTAAGAGAAATGAAATGAAAATATGTATTGTATAAATTGTTTTTAAAATTATATGAATTGAATATTTACAATTTCACCTAATTAATCATTCATTAGTCCTGTCAGCTTAAGATATTTATAAAGCTTTATTTTTATCAAATTGCAGGTAAAAAGAATTATAATAATATATTTCTTCTTTTTTCTATTTAATATGTTACCAAATTGTATTTCCAATTTTCTATTTAATCCCTTATGAAATTTCAGTTAAATTGTATAATATTTTCTCTTCTTTTTAATAACTATTTATCAAAAAGATATACACACATCGCCAAAATTCTTGGACCTCCTTATGTTTGTCAAAATGAGACACTATTATTTAAAGTCAAGAAGTGTGTTACATAGTACTTTTAATTTGGTTATGTATCCAATACAAATTGGCTGAATTAAATTTTAACTGAACAAGAAAAAAATACAAACGAAAAATAGTGCATAATAAAATGATTACTAGAATTTGAATTCCAGAAGAAAACCACTTTAGAGCGAAATAAAAAATTCATTAATATTCGGTGTGTCCTCCCCTGTTCTGTAGTAAGGTATTAACTCGCTTGTTAATAAGGGTGTTAATATAATCCATTGGAATGTTGTTCCATTCTTCTGGGGCCGCGACTGTGAGTTCTTGGAGGGTGATAGGAGGATTAATTCTGTTTGAGATTGCTCTTCCATCGACATTCCACATGTGCTCAATGGGATTCATATCTGGCGAATTTGCTGGCCACGGTAATCATTGAATATTCTGAATTTCTAGTGCATTTTGTACCCCTCTCGTGCGATGGGGTATTGTCATCCATGAAAATAAAATTGGCACCAATTTCATTTCGGAGAGGATAAATAATGGGTTCAATAATGTTTCGAACATATCTATCAGCTGTCATAGTGTCTGGAATGGGAATAAACTGCGTACGACGACCATGCTCTAGGCGAGTTCGGTCAGTCAGGGGCTGGAGCGGGACAAATTTTAGGGTGCTTTTAAATGACATTTAAGCGTGTTAAACTGTCACTAATCGGACTAAACCTAACGGTAAAAGGGTCGTTTGGAGTTAAAAGTGTTAAAGGAGTTAAAGGAACTTGGCAGACCGAACGCAATGATTATACCTCACCAAAACATTACTGTTCCTCCTTGGCACGGAACGACTTCTCTGGCAAAAGATAGTCTTTCTGGTGACCCTGGCCCAAACTTTGTGTCGCCGGCTTTCCGAAAAAAGAATATTTCGCCACTGAGCTGAAAGCCAGTCTCTGTGTTCCTGTGCCTACTGTAGATGAGCTACTATATATCTGGGAAGTAACCTGGGTACTCTTAATGGTCTCCTAGATCGTAAATTGGCTCCAGCAAGTCTTCGTCGTATTGTGGTACTAGAAATGAATCGACCATACGTTTTTATAAAATGAGTTCGGACAGCTGAGACTGTTACGGTTCGATTACGACGTACATAACCTGGTACAAACGCACTATTCGGATAACTGAAGCGCGGGAAATCCCTAGTCTATCTGCGATTCGATGATTCGGCAGACCCTCATCATGCAAAGCCACTATTCTTGCTCTATTGAACACTGAAATTCTATTGCCAGGCATAATTGCAAAGAAAAACTCAACAATAACCTAAAATTGTGGGAAATTGTTTTTGTAAAGACTTTTAGATGCGTATCAACGGTGAAATAAATAAAGATTAAATGTACAAAAAAGCAGCCATGATAAATATTTCGTTTTAATATTTACGAGAGGGGTTCAAGAATTTTGGGGATGTGTGTATATTTGAGATATGTTTGCAGTATTATTTTGTACTACTAATGGCCGTTTGCACCGACAATTTTAAGGAAAGCTTAAGGTTAAGTAATACTTAAGTATACGAAACTCGTTGCACCGATGTTGAAGTACCATTTATTCAAACCTTAAGGGTTTCCTACTAAAGCGGTAAAATTTGCAGGCTTTATACCTTCTTAAGTAAGTATTTGACACAAATTACTTGTTTCGTTGAGATCTTGAGGGTGAATGGATCCCTCCCATTGGCAGTATTGAAACAACCTGATGGTGGTATTTATATTTACATGGTTAATTATTTCTTTAAAAAATAGTGCTTGTTTGCAAAAAGAATTTATATGAATCCAGCCAATTTACAATTGTTTAGCGATTATCAAGATATTCTAGATTTAATAAATTTCGGATTTCCTAGGCGCATTTATGAGAGATCAAATTATTTTGAAGAAATGAATAACCTCATATTTTTCAAACGGTTTAGACTCTATAAAGAAACTGTTTTACATCTGAGTAGATGTAGATCTAATGATAGGTAGGTACCTAAGTTTATGTTTTACAACCAGTCGATATGAAGTTATTTTTTTATTTTAGAAACAATTGTGTTTCGCCAATTAACCAACTTCTTTGTTGCCTTCGTTAAAAAAAAAATTAACCTTTTTTAATTATTTAAAAAAGACATTATCGGAAAAAACCAAACGGTATATAAATATAAAGAAAATCAACAAAACATCTAGCACTAATTAGAACGCTTTTAGAACCATAGACCATGAACCAAAAAAATGTTAGGTTAAAATCGTCAAGTTGCAAGGATAATCAACAAAAAAACCCTAGAAGTCACCAGAAAATCTAGCCTCTACGCGGGGTTTGCTGGATTAGTAAAGTTAAGGAATCATTTGTTCGTTGCAACTCCTCCACATTTAAGGGTCACTTATGATTTAAAGGTTACTTAAATATACCTCTCTTAAGAAATTATCGGTGCAAACGGCCATAAGAGATCCTTCAAGTAATTAAAATGTCGATTTGTCTTTGAGAATATGGGTAGTGTCAATCGATCGACATCTTGATAGACAGTAGTAGACATTATGACGAATGCCACATTTCGAGAATAGGATCCCAGGACCGTCAGATTTGAGAACTACCCGAAAATGTGTTGCCAACTTATGAAAAAGTAATGAATTTTTGTGCTAGATTGGGTTCAATAGGAAAGTTCCTCAAAAGGAGCCTACGTTTTCTGAAATATCAGAGGAGGTTGAGGTTGAACAAATTGGGCATAAAGCGTGTATTCCTGTAGTTTCCCACACCCGAATTTTACAGCCTTTGCAGGCCTACCATGCTAAATACAAAAAACTTTTGAAACCTTTTAAGGAAAGACAAAGCAGTGAAACTTACCAGTTCAAGATTAAATGTAAGGTAAAAAAATCCTTTTTGATATTGCAACATGCAAATGTAATTTACTTTCTACATCCTGCATTTGTGACAAATTCCGCAAAATTCCACCTGAAGAACGCGAATTCTTATTAGATCAAAGAGGGCCGATAAAAATGGCAATAAGCAGTGTCGATATGAAAGAAACTACAAAACTTATACAGAAAGAAAACCGGCAACATCACGAAACCTAAGTCCCCAATGTATCCTGTAAGAGAAGCCGCCGATTCTGAAACAATATGTGACTGTTCTGACAATGAAATAAAGTTAAACAAAATTAGCAAATGCGAATTCAGCTACACTTGCATGCTCCGTTTTACATGATGTAGGAATTGTGACGCCAGAAGTTTCATCTAAAATTATTAACAAAAGTAAAGTCAGAAGGGAGAGACAAAACAACCGTTCTGCTCTGCGACTGCAAGAACTGTGGGAAATAAAAACACATGTTCTGTATTTTGACGGGCCCAAAGATAAAACCCTAGCTCAAGTAAAAAAGGGAAATCATTTTTATCGGCAAACAGTAGTAGATGAACATATAGTTCTCGTGCAAGAGCCAGAATGTATCTACATCGGTCATGTTTCACCGTACTCTGGTACATCTCAAAGTATTAAAGATACTTCGATCAAGACTAAAGATCTAGAACCGTTGTGAATACAGGAATTAGGGGCGGTTGCAGGAACATTTTGAAGTACCTCTTCAGTGTTTGTATGTATGTTACATGCAAACGAGCTTCCCCTTCGCCATCTTTTTCACCATTTAGATGGAGAAACCTCTAGGCCTCGTGGATTTGCAGTTCCTATTGAGAAGCAGGTGGAAACTTGTGAGAAACTGCGTTTAAACCCATTAAGGGCAATTTACCTGTAATATTGTGAAGGGCCTTAGCGCGGATCAGAAATATCTTTTGTGGCCTGTGTGACACTAGTATTTCAAATCGAAATCCAGGAAAACTAGCACACTCGAGGTGGGTTACCACAGCCAACCGCCTCCTGCGATTATATGTTTCCAGCAAAAATTCATTGCCAAGTTTGAAGACGCTAACATAATATATTATGAATGTTTACGCTCCCATGTGGTTTGATATAAAATCTCATCCCTCTTACAAAGACATCTTCAACCATTCAGTTGCCTCGTTATCTGAATCAAAAATTAAAAGATGTTATTGATTCTGCAATTCAACGAAATTAATTCTTTGGTCACCACGAAAATATTTTTCTGGGTTCAAATTCGAGAACTTGGACTTGCCGTATTTTGAAGGCAAAGAATTCTTCTGTAACTGCCGCATCCTCCAAGAAAATTAGGTTGTTTAAATTGCCTCCTAAATTTTGAAGCAATCGATTACTTTGATCTTATCAATTAGCAAGAACACCTATTACCTCCCGAATCCCCAATGAAGATCTACGAGAATTTATTAACTACCCTGACGTACTTGCAGTAAATTTTGGAAAGTATCCTTGTCACACACAGCAAGAGCTGCTCCAGGGGGGCTATGGGGGCTATACCGGTGTTTTTTATTAAGCTTCCTTGTCCTACATTGAAACTAAACGAAGACAAGCTTATTTTAGGACACTCTGACTATGGTAAGTGTTGTGTAATGTAACTAGGTTGTTTTATTTTGAGTGTCAAAGATATTTAAATGTAATTTCTGTAAAAAAAAAACGCTAAATGAGGCAAAATTGAAGGTCGTTGGGAGGCAGATAGGGTTTACGTATATCTACCAACTTTTGTCACAAACGTATGTAGTACAAAGGAAAGGTTTTCCGCGATATTGTAATATTGTCTCTTAAGTTGGGTATTGTCGTAAAATTTATGTATTTCAAAAATTCAAGGTCATTGGAGAGGCAGAAGATGTTGACCAATTTTCAGAACTTTTACCATTACATTAAGTAGACTACTTTTTTGCGGTAATATATTTTGAAATCAAACAAAAATTAAATTTGATTTTTTTCACTCCACCCTTTATTTCTCAGATATAAAAGTTTTTATACCTACTTATCAATTTTAATTTTTATAGGGTGTTCATGAAAATATGTACATTTTTAAAATCACGCCTGGAAAGTGTGAGAAAAGTAGCTAGGGAGACATTACAAAAAATTATGTTGACATTAGGTCCTAAATACCTAAGTGCCCTGCTCAGTGAAATGTCTCCTTTGTTAGCAAGAGGATACCAAGTTCATGTCTTAGTATTTACCATTCATGGCGTTCTTAATTGTTTAAAAAACACGTATCAACCATCAGATTTGGATAAAATACTTTTGACCGTTCTAAACGTCAGTATTATTATTTTTTAATTGATTTCTTTTATAAAAACTTTTATTTTACAGTTTTGCACCTCTGATATTTTCGGAACTTTATCAGAAGAAAAGGAGGTAGCTAAGATTGCAGTGAAAGTAGTAGAAGCAAGACATTCAAAATCGTATGACACTTTACAAATCTTAGCCCAGTTTATTACAGAAACCTGTTTACTTGATTTAATCCTTCCAATTAAACGCGTTCTTGAAACTTCCCACTCTTTCAAAACGGCTCATAAAGCTCAAGAATCTTTACGATACGTTGCATTAGGTTTAGTAGATAACACATTCATTCCAACCGAATCTTTGCTTAAATTCGCGTATGGTACTTCATCAAAAAGTATACCACAACTTATTCCTAAAGAAAAAAAGAAGAAAACTGAAAAGGAGATCGAAAAGCAAATGAGAGAAAAAGAAGACTGCTTTATAATTCCTAAATTACCTGGAAGTAGAAATGTGTACAGGTTGCAAAATGTAAAAAATTCAACCAAGACCAACGCTCATTTATTGGTGGAATTTGGCTTAAGGCTATGCTTGGTATTATTGAAGAGAGAAAAACTTAAAGATGATGCCTACAAACCGTTTCTTGATCCCTTTATAGTAGTATTTAAGAATTGTTTAAAATCGAAACATATTAAGGTTGGTTTGTGCATTTTTTAAACTTTCAACAGACTAAATAGTACTATATTTTTTTAGCTCAGTACACTTACATTACAGTGCCTTGTATGGGTTTTGAAATTCGATTTGCCATCTTTGAGAGTTCATATAAAATCAATAACAAAAGATATATTTGGAATTTTGCACAAATATGCATCAGCTGGTTTAAGTAAAGGAGATAATTTTGATTTGGTGGTAGCAGCATTCAAGGTAATTAATTGTAAATCATTTTTTTTAATGTGCCCTAAAATTTTGCCTCAAAACTGCAGTATACATTTGTTATTGAAATACATGTAGTTATTAAAACATTAATATGTAGGCCCTCCTAGAATGTGCAAAAATATAATTTTGAAATAATTGTAATAATTGAAGGAGTAACCCGAGTGACCTGAGTTGGTTGATTTGGCATATATGTATATTTTAAAATTATATAAATTTTGAAAATTTATGTTAAATCAGACGCGGTAACTTACCAGTCACTTTTAGTATGAATGCCAAAAACCGTTTAATATTTTACAATTGTATACACAATTGTTTAATCAATTTTACAAAGGATTAAATAGAACACCATGATTGCCTGAACACTAAACACTTAAACATCTAACCTCACTACTCATCTAACCTCAGTACTTAGTTTTACTCCCCTTGATGTTTACATTAAGGAGGTTGCTATGATGACAATAATACGACTCCTCGCGGTGGAAATAGATCCAGATGTAGGATTTGTTGAGCCGAGACGTCGCTTTTGGCAGAAAGCGCTCGATACGCTTCCACTGCTTCAAGCGAACATGGATTTCATATTCCATCTCACCTAGATATATCTTCCGTAAGCCATGTATAGTTATAACAAAACAAATAGAAGAGCCGGAAGTGACAGGTACGATTCATATCTACACTGGCGGTTCTAAAACAAAACAAGGCTCAGGATGTGAAAACACAAAATGGGCTGCGAACAATAGTGCCAAGGCAGTTCAAACCAAGCTCACGGGGATTCTCGTAGCAGAAAAATAAGTTACCAGAAACAATATCACTGGGAGGAACATGCTCATATATACAGATAGCAAACAAGCACCTCACCCTGGACAGACCACAAATTTACTTAGTGTTGGTACTTACTAGAATGTCACGAAACTTTAGCCAAACTATCAATAAACAATGTGGTCACCTTAAGATGGATTAAAGGTCACGCCAAGCTAACCGTTTGGCTGATTCACTAGCCAAGAAGGCAGCTAACCAAATACTTTTAGGACTTCTATTGGACTGACAACATTAGTATTGACAAACCTAATTAAAGAGCATTTCCTTGTAAAATTCAAGGGAATATGGGATGAAACAAGAAGCTGCAGCGTTGCCAGGAAGCTTTTAAGTTATCCTTACTACGCCACAACAAAAAAATACTTGACTATAACTAGACAGAATCTGCACCTGATCACAGACATTCTGACTGCTCACTGCCAAGTATGAAAGCATCTCCATAGTACGGAGTTGTCAAAATCTGCACTCTACAGGGGGTGCAAACCAGAAGATGAGACCATCGAGCATATCCTGTACGATTGCCCGATGCTCTTATTTATTAGAAGATTTGTGTTCGGTGAGAACTGGCTAACACCGGCCGATATAATAGAAGCACCTCTTGGCGACTTTGTCAACTACATAATATCTGTAGGCTGGTTTACGAGCTAGGAGCTGCCTATTTACTTAGGAAGATGCACAATGGGTCTAGTGAAGCCTAAGTGTCGTGGGATAATCCACCCTTCACACGTTACAGATACAGAGATGGTGTACCACTTAATTAAGATATCGGAGTAACAGTAAATTGCAATTTATTTTTTATTTTTAAATGAAAACCCCATTTTTTATTGAACATCCTAATTTACTGAACATTTTTGGATATGAGAATGTTTTATTGAAAATGTTCTGTCAGCTATCAAAATGGCCGTCATATTTGATAATATTTCTGAATGTGTTACTAATAACTCGTTTGAGGAAGATTATAATATGGGATTCCATTACCTTTAAACTCTTTGTAAGCCTTGGTGTTCCCATTGTGACTAACCCAAATTACACCAGTGATATGTATCTAAACATTTTTGTTATTGGTTAACTTCTTAAAAATTCGATCCACTCTTATCTTAGTTATTATTTTAGATATTGAATTTGTTGTTTGTTTGAGAACTTGGAACAAGAACTTTTTTTAACGAATTCAATTATTCTGTGAAGTCATGGGTCATGAGTTCCGTTTTTTTTTTTTTCGGAAATAATAGTAAATCGTAAGTTATGTTTATTTGATCTCACGAAGTCCAACCTAACGTCCGTAGACTATTTTTTGTGAGGCATTTAAAAAACAAAACGAATAAACATAACAAAGTATTAACTAAACAAGTTTGTAAATAGAGATTTGTAAACCAATATGTTACAGTACCTCCAATAACGCTGCGGAAGGAGACAAAAAAGAATTAAATTAACGTTTGGAATTATTATGAAAGATTGTCCTTGTAACTCAAATGATTGTTTAAAATTAAGTTTAAATAATAGAGTAGATTGAAATTTTGAAAATTGAATGTAAAATTTGAGGAATCTTTTATTGTTTCGTTTTATAATAATTTAGGATTAAATATTGTTTTTTATTGTTGTATTATTCCTCTTTTTCAATTTTATGTTTATATTATAGGTTTAATCTCGGGTTTAATAACCTAATTTATTTTGAATATATCTTGGGTTTGGATTTGATTTTGCACTTTCGAGTAACCACTATTTGGGTCTTCTTCACGTAGTTTTCTGCATAGACCACCTTCTTTTATCTTCTAAATACATTCCAGTCTGCAAAATTGTTCTAGGTACCTGATTTTACGTATTATTAAAAATTTTGACACGGTTTTCTTGTTTCGTTATCATAGGCCCTAATTTTCAAAATATGTAGAATTATTCTAATATAGGTATTTTATTTCCAATAACTTTTAGGCAATGTCAGTTCAAGTCAGAGAAGTAGATTACTACAAAATTGACACCAACCAATTGAAAATTCTACTTTTGTATGTAGAACAAGACATTCACAATTATGACAGACAAGCAACTGCTTTCAATTTATTAAAAGCAATTTTATCCAAGAAAATCAATGCGCCTGAATTAAATGATGTTATGGAGAAAATAGCTGAACTTAGTGTAGTTTCCGAGCTTGACCATGTAAGGGTTCAATCTAGGAATGTCTTCCACCAGTACCTTATGGAATACCCTCTAGGTAACAATTTAGAAAAACATTTGGGTTTTTACTTATCACAGTTGAGTTACGAATTAAAATTTGGGAGGGAATCGGCCATTGAAATGATTTCTACAATGATAAATAGTTTTCCATTGGTAAGTAGATTATTTTTCTAATGATTACTCGTATTAACAAATTTTAAGATGAAAATAGAAAAATATTTGTCTTTTTAGGAAGTTTTGAAAAGTAATAGTGGCACGTTATTAGTAACTTTGGGTGCAAGATTAATAAACGACGACGAACCTGAATGTAGGAAGAAAATAGCAGAGTGTATATCCGCTATGTTGAAAAAACTACCAAAAGCAGACAGGGATCCATTATATGATATTATTGTTACATGGCTCAAAGATAAAAATGTATGTAATATATATCAAAAAATTTTTTTATTTAAAACCATTATTTTCTATTGTTTTAGGCTAATCACAGAAGACTTGCTTCACAAATATGTGGCATATTAGTTGAAGTAGAAAAAGCCTCATTTGAAACTAGGTTACCAGAGCTTACTCCTTTGTTGCTAAAACAATTTGGTATAGATAATGCTCCAGGAAAGTTAGTGCGAATAAAAACAAATGAGGAGAAAATAACCAGTGAGGAGAAACAGAGAATAAAAGACCATCATTTATTCCAGGTTTTGCAACTTCTTCTAAAACTGTGTGTACATTGTCCATCTATTTTGAAGCAAAAGGATTTAATAGAAAATTTGGCGGTACATATTCAAACATTACTTGCTTATCCACACGATTGGGTCAGATTAGGAGCTGCGCAATTTTTAGGATATGTTTTGAGCACTTTAGATATCGACCATCTCACAAAATTAATAATATGTGATGAACCAGACGATGGATATCTGTGTAATGATCCTGTTAACTCTGTTAAATCTTTGACTTTAGATTTGTGTGATCAGCTTCAACCAAAAAACATCAAAAGTGATTTAGCAGAACAAGTAAGTTATTTTTAGTGACGTTGCCAAATATCAGTTAAAATTAATTGTGATTGACAAAAAATGTTTCTAAAGTAGACCATGATGGACAAAGACAGAGATAAGTCTTGTCCGAGATAACTACGCACAGCTCTGAATTAAATTTACACTGACATACGTGAATGTTTTCAAGGCGTACTTTAGAAACATTTTTTGTGGATCACTCCATTATAGTTTTTATGTTTTTCACCTTGACAATAAAATGTCTGAACATGTCGATTTTATGTAATACAATGACCACATACTTTTTTTGCATCGCAGTTGAAAGATCATTTGATAATAAATACAAAACAAGGCTTGACCGACATAATTCTGCGATGAATCCACCAGCTGCAACATCTGAAAATAATGAGTTATATGTTTTCTAATTAGTACATAATTAATTTAAGCAGGATTATTTAATAAATACACCCTCGCCCAATCGGTCATAGTAACTACCAAATTTAAAGCGCCGTTTTTTTCAGTCCGACGACAAGAATATGTAATTTTTACGATGAGTGGTATGCTGATTACCACATGACCAATCACTCATGATAGATAAGTGTATTTAATGACCGAATATTCCAATACCGAACAAAAATATTGCGCTGCATTGCCGTCTAACAAAAAGAAGACAAAAATAACATATTATGGTAAAATTGCAAACTAACTTGTTTAAATTTGCTCACAAATAAGCTGCAAATATAAAAAAAAATTAAAAACATGTCCTTAATGTAAAAGTTTTATGGTAATGAATTTTAAGCAGTCTGAAAGACAAAGTTGACTACAACTTATTTCTACATATTTAAGTATTATGTGTTGCACATAAGTATTGACTTTGACTAATAAGCTACATGTAAATAATTTAACATCTTGTGTAATTGTTACAGAAAAAATCGGAACAACAGAAAAGATGAATAGTACAATAATTGTAAATAAACATTATTTGTACTAAAAGTTAGGACTCTTTTTTTTACAAAAATAACCATAAAAAAAATTACATAAAATGTACGCTGTCCCTGGTACATTGTCCCTTGTAGCTTGACAAACCGGGCCCTCACCTAGTTTTTCAAATATTCATAGCCTTGGCCTAAATTTCGTCTAGTAAGTCTAGTAGATCCCCACGAAGTGATGGTAGTTAACCACAAAATTACTTTTAGAGTTCAATGTAGCTGTAATGGAGGAAGAATAAAGTAAACACAGATGAATTACGAATACTTTTTATTTAACATCTTTTTTTGTACAGTCGAAAATTTCGATTATGTGCTGTTTTTAGACTTAACATTGTTTTTATGTATTCTTTCCAATGTGTCATTTCTAACCGAAGAGCTTTTAGTTCCCATAAAAGGGTAAAATAAAAGTTGGAAGTACTTTGGTATATTTGTTACGCATTGTCTAATAGCACGCAGAGTACCGCGAGGTACGAGAGGGTGTCGCCAGGTTCCCTCAGGAGAGCGTTTGTTGCCGCAATTGCCGCTGTGACAATTCATCTGTCGTCACGTTAATTTACACCTTAGATTGGAGGAGTTGGTTCGCGGCGGTAGCCTTCGCAAAATGTTTTGAGGGTTTTTAGATTTTCTCACTCTACTTATGTCTAGTGGTATAACCAGGGAAATCTTAGCCGTTTTCCTATCCATCATGCGGAGACGCCCTCAGTTGGTACTCAATCGCTGGGTTTGTGACAAGTAAAGAACAATGTGAATATTTTTATTGATTTTAACAGTCTAATTTGGGTATGTGTGTTCTTTTTATGTAAAACGAACCTCTCATATGGAAAGAATGGCTTTGGACTACTAGATAGTGTGCCCAGCTCATTTTATACATTCTCTGATATCTGCTGTTTTTGGAAGAAATTCTTCAATTAGAAAGTACTAAAAGTTTGCCGTCCACAGGCAGAAAATTATTTCTTAGTTATTACGTTCCAGCGTGCTTACGCAATAGGTACTGTGTTTTTAATGTGGATTAGTTTTTTTATACCAGGGTGTCTCACTATATTTTTCCACATTTTGACGACTTGTATCTTCCGAACCAGTTACGATGCGGTTACAATTTCATTTCCTGTATGTCCTGATAAAACTTATGACCCTACTTAAGCCTTTAGTGAAAACTGCAAAATGTTGTAAAACATAGTAAGATACCCGGTATTGTGTTAAGTCCGCCGTGCGGCCGAATTCTGAGTTAATCTGTCATTTGCCGCCCGCAGATAGCTAGAAAATAGAAGCAACAAAATAATTCTCAAAATTTACTTTAGAAATGATAAAGTATCAATAGGCGAACTAAATATTTAAGAAATATAGCTCATTTCGCATTAAAAAATATTAAAATCTTAAAATTGTTTTTCAGGTAATAAAAAATTTGGTCTTCGTAGCTAAAGTTCTCCAAACAGTACCCGCCGCCGATAACAAACCGAACCTTTTATGGTTAACAAAGCGGATGCGCAAAATCGTTAACACTGAAATTGTTGAAAATGCATCTAGTACGACATTAAGAACTGAAGTATTTAAATGGATAGCGGGTGTTTGTACAGCTTTAGAATTAGATAATATCCTTCCTATCATACATCATTTGATAAGTCCATTGGTACGAGAACTGACAACCACAGAAGAGAAAAATGCACCGTTGCGACATCTAGCTAAAGAAGTTTCTAGCTTGATAAAGGCCAAAGTTGGAGTTGATGTGTATGGTAACGTATTATTAAAGCAGCAGCAATCATTATCCATTAAAAGAGCAGAAAGAAAAAGATCTAGAACCCAATTATCCGTTACTGATCCCGAAAGTTTTGCGAAAAGAAAAATAAAGAGGCACGAAAAAAAGAAAGAAGCTAAAAAAAGAAAGATTGATTCTTTGAAGGGCACAAAGAGAAACTTTAAAAAGAGGAAAACAGTCGATTTAGATAATTCTGAAATAATTTGATTTTAAAATAGGAATATTTTTTTATTTAATTCCCTGTGCCTACATAATCGCTGCGATATCAAGATAAAAAATGTTTTGTTGGTTGAGAAATATATCAAAATTATATTTGTAGCATTGATTTTTGTTTTTATTGACAATATAATATTTAAACAAAATGTTTTTACTTTTATTACCTTGACACATTTTAATTTTACTTCGCAATGAAAAAAACTGGAAAACCAACCTGTTTAACTTGGTAATATTTAAGTGAAGAAGTGAATCCAATCTCAAATATATACCACATAAACTTTCAAGCTTGAAAATGGTCGCAGTTAAGAAATTTACATTAGGGTGTGCCATTTTTGAGCAACTTTTATTATATTCTTCTACTAATGCGACGCCACGTCCTGCAACGTCATTGACAACTTTCAATTTTTCGAAAAACTAAATTGTCTTGATAACTTTCATTATCTGGCCACATTAGTACATCTTCATCCAGAAAGTCGTACGTAAATCAAATTTATCTAAAAGTTTCAATGATTGTTTTGAAACAAAGTCGCTCATATATTTTTTTTAAATATTTCTGGTGAGTTTTTATCTTCTATGCGTCGTTATTTTCTTTCTATACGAAAATAATTATTTTTTCTTGAAAATAATTTTTAAGACATAAAAAAAGTCATCAGTATTACTTTAAGGCGGCGCGGCAGTTTAATACGACCTCCTGCGATCGAAAGCCGTTACATATCTTATACGAGTACTCGAACCCGTAATAACAGCATATATCCCCTATAGTAGTGCATCTCACTTGTTAAAGAGTTGGCACTAAGTTTGCAGCGCAAGAATGCGTCTGTGTCTGGCCGCTCAACTAACTCGATATGGCGGTAAATTCAAATATAATTTAAAGGCGAAATTTAAATTTCCCGCCAAAATTGTAAATTTTCAGCCGCGGAATGGCGGGAATTTTTAAATATATTCATTCGGCAATAATTATTGAGAAGTATATTGCATGTTTGATTAAACGAGCTGTAAATCCAGGCGCTATTTTTATTTTGATAGCTAAAAATAATACTAATTCTTTTATTATTAGCTATTACAATAAGAGCAGTATTTGGATTAACAACACATTTAAAAGAACATGTAATATACTTTTCAATTTTACCTAAATCACTTATTTTTTACCTATAGAGGTTAGATCTGAAAAAAAATTGGCTCTGGTAAAAAAACAAAAAATTGTATAAAGTATTTTATTTGAAAAATTATAAAACTTATTTAATATATTTTAAAGACGAAGATAACTCTAGCCATATCCATTTTACTGAAAAAAAAAAAAAGAAACTATTAAATGAAATCATTTAGTTATTAAGAGATGTTTGTGATAATACAGTGGCAGCTTTCGAATGTTGTACAATACGTTTTGCTAATGTCCAAGTAAAAACTACAAAGAGTTAGCATTAGTGGGAGAAGGAATAGAATACTATGAACGTAGCCAGCCGGCTACGTGGGGATGCATCACACCGTGTGTCTGTTCATATTACACAGCACACAAGGCAACATTCATATTATTCGTTTCCTGATCAAACTAATGCGCTAACTCTTTAGTTTTATTTTCGATTCTAGCCAAGCGTATTGGAAAGTGTTCATTAGCCGATACTGTATATAAATGCTAAAATCAATAAGTGAAATAAAAAAATTTAGTTTAAATGGACATCTACTTCGAAAAAAGTAAATTATTATACTTGAATTTTAAAGGCTGTTGCCACTGGAAAACTATTATCTAGGGCTTGGATGACAGCCATAGGACTCCCTCCTTGAATCGTGTACATAGGAAAGCATAAGATCATAGTTAAATTATAATATTAAGAGGGTAGGTATTAACTGAAAAATTATTACAAACTTACCTCAAAATTGGCACCTACATTAAAAGAAGGGAAACCGGAAACATAAAATTGTTATACTTGAATTTTAAAGGCTTTTCCCACTGGAAAAGAATTATCTAGGGCGCAGACCCTTGGATGACAGCCATAGATAGCAATCCCTCCTCGATTCCTCTTTTTCTGAGTTTGTTGTACGTTTTGTTTCCCAAATTAAATAAGAAAGCACTTAATACAACAACACAAATCACAATAAATATCGCTGAAACAAAATTAATATTAAATTTCGTAGAAGAAAAAATCAAAAAATTATCACTTGTCAACACTGACACTTCACGCTTCACTTATAAAAACTCAACGCTAAAGAATGAAAGATGATTCGAAATAGAAATTATTAACTGGTATCTCTTTCTTTTATAAGTATATATAAGGATATATTAGGTTCTTTCGTTCGTCCCACTGGTGTAGTTGGGTGTAGTAATGAACTACACCAACCCACACCCATACCTTTCGTTTGGTCCGGTGTAAAACCCACTATACCTTCCTGTCGGCGATGTGGTGTACACTGGTGGATATTTTCTCCACCAGCTATTTAGCAGGAGTGAATTACACTCGACGATGTGTATAAGGAATAAGGAGGAAGTAAATTAGGGTAAATAAGGTGGTGTAACTGGTGTAATTTACACTGGTGGACACTACACCAATAGCGAACGAAAGAACCTATTGTGATAACAGCCGATACACCAAAAATGTTCTCAAAAATATTTTCCGTAATTTGCACGAAAGCTTCTGCTTAGTGATGGGATCATTCGAATTAAAAATCCTCGGTAATCCGAGTATCAAAATCCTCGGTATAATCCGATTATTTGTTCCGAGGATTCATTCGGTTAAATATTCGTTCGGATCAACCAATGTCTAGAGAAACGAATCGCTGTCAGCTGTCAGTGCACGTCATAACCTCCGATTCGGGTGCGCAAAGCGGGAGTGCGAAACACCTTGTCCAACTGGGGATTGATATAGGGTAGAAAAAAATGAGATAGATTCAATGAGATAGAGTGTAATATTAGAAGTTTGAGGCTGTGGTGTTGAGACTTCAGTGACTTCCAAATAACTTTCTTCTTCCGTAGGGGTATCATTTTCGGCGGCAAACTGAATTGGGTGGATTCTAATTAAATGTTGTTTAATATTGCTTGTACCGCCAAAATATTTTAAATCTTTTTTACAAATTTGGCAAGTAACTGTCTTGCCATCAACTTTTTTAAAATATTTCCAAACAATTGACTTCGGACGCATTTTTATCATTTTATCTTTAGCACGGGGGTTTATATCATATGCACAATACGTAAACACGTTTCTGCGCATACTCCTCCGCGCTTGGGTGCTCTGAAGTCCGTTTTACAATAGCAAAATTGTAATAAAATGTAAAGCATATTGATTAATTTAATAACAACTCGTTCAGTAACACACAAAAAGTGTTGTTTCAAAAATTTTAATTCATATATTACAACAAACTAAAAAAAACATACCTTCACTTAGTTATTTGTACTATGTGAAGATGGCTTTCTGTCCGCTGCATGACTGCTGGCTGCCCGCTATAGCGGGCCCCGCGCGCGCTGTCAACAAATAACATCAAAATCAAACAAATGTGTGGTTATGTTATGATTTGGTTGTCGACGAAAACATGTGAGTGGAACTACTTTTATTTTTTTAGATATAAGTTATTTAGGATTATTTAAAATCAAGTAAAGATATTTTGATGCTTTAACATGTTTTTACCAGGCAGAATTCATTATAAACGCATAATTTCTAATTGTTATAGTACATTTTATAAGGCCCATTCCAAACGAAAATTTTAAGAACAAACATTTTTAAATTTCCTTCTGATATTGATCAAAGAACGGAATGGTGTCGTATTTTAAACATTCCACTTACAACTCCAATCATTATACATTATGTGAAAAACATATTTTGATACAAAATTGTTTACACACACAAATCGTTCAAGACTGCTAAAAGATTTGCTTTACCTTGCTTTAGCATCCTCAAAACCAGATACACCAAAGATAGTAGTACTTAGTAATATTGTTATCACACCTCCAAACAGAGTCCTGTGTGGATAAAGTTCATTTTAATAATATATACAAAATTAATAAATGAAGCAGAATTTGAGTCAGGCCACTAGTTATGTTGCAGGGTTTATTAAGAAACTTAATAGTTTTGACTGCAAAGAGTGTAAAGTTAATTTACAGACATGTTAGAAGACCATCGATACTTTTACTTATTTTAAAGAAAATTATGATAAAAGACGTTTTATTTATGTACCTACAAAGAAATATTGAATTTCTTTCAAAAATTCTTGAAATAGTTTCACAACTTTTGGGTCATATTGACAACATAATTCAAATAATTAAACTTTTTTGCCAGACCATGTTGATTTTAAATGGTTTACATCAGAGGCGACTCGTGGCCTAGTCTATGAGGAGACTACTTTTAAAAGGCACACCCTATATACTTAATAAAAATATATGTCTATAAGAATTCAAAAAGCAGAAATATTACATTGTATTCTAATAGAAATATATATTTGTATAAAGTATATAGGATGAGCCAGCTTCCTCACAGACTAGGCCACAAGCCGTCTCTGGTTTACATATAAAGAACATAAAACAGACGTCTTTTCTCATTTAGTTGAAACTTGTCTACTATTAATAATAAAAAAGTATTATAATGATAGTATGAGGGCTGCTGCAATGTCTAAAAGACAAACAAAATGATTTGAAGTTACTGCATTTAATTTTTTTCTGTTTCAGTTTATATGGATGGTTGCTTTTGTCTGATTTCCTAAGATTCAAGAAGAATTTGTTGTTTTGTTTTTCGTTTATTTTAAAAATTTATTTACTTAGGCATTAGTTTTCATATCAAGTAAATTAATTATTTGTTATGCAATTTCTGATTTTTGTTAGCCAAAGATAGTTAACGTACCGAAATAGTAATGTAATGTTTGTGATATTAGAGTAACTTTCTTAAATAATCATTTATAAGACGTCCGGGAGCGCCATAGTAAATAATAATAATAATAGACATTCTTGCTTCGCATAAGCTCGCTTGTATGGGGGTGAAGTGCATGAAAAATATTTTTTTGTATTGCCATCTCTTTGATATATTTTTTATTTATTTTTCTTGGGAATTTTTAGTAAATATAATTATATAAAACTTTGTATATTTATTTTATCCCTCATAATTATTTGTCATTGAATTTTACATTTTTATTGGGCATTTCATAA